ACCGACTGTGCTGTAAGTGAGCCTCATTGAATCATTTAGCCTTCGGTAGAACATGTTCAGGCACCAACTCTGGCTGCAAGAAAGACATCCAGATGTAATTTTAAAAGCCATATGTAGAAAGCCGTACTAGACAATGATAACTGAGGCATTTTTGTGTGTGTGCGCGTGTGAGGAAGATCAGCCCTGAGCTAACATCTGCTGCCAATCCTCCTCTTTTTGCTGAGGAAGACTGGCCCTGGACTAACATCCGTGCCCATCTTCCTCTACTTTATATGGGGCACCGCCACAGCATGGCTTGACAAGCTGTGTGACGCTGCGCTCCTGGGATCTGAACCTGCAAACCCCGGGCCGCCGAAGTGGAGCGCGCGCAATTAACCACTATGCCACCAGGCTGGTCCGATAAGTGAGGCATTTTTAAAACTAAAGACATATCATAAAACACGCTGGCTTCCTTAATAAGCACATATCATGCCTTTGCACACATTGCTCTGCTAATCTCTTAAATAAATAATTGCTTTAAAAAACATTCTAATGTTGACAGTACTTTTCCTAGAGGTATAATGAAAAATCAAAACCTCAAATTAAATGTAAAAGCGTCCCACAGATATTACTAAGAGCCAAGACAATAATAGATCTGTTTAAATGTAACACTAGGAAATTTATGGCACCATATATATTTGGCAGATACTGCTATCAGGCAGGGTGTAAGCAAAAATCCTGGCAAAATCTCCCAATTAAAATGCTTAATGTTTGCTCAGGGCAAGGCTTATAAAATCCCAGTGAAAGTGCTGTTGGCTGAATGGTGACTGTGCACGGAATGTGCCCTGGTGGAGTTTTCCATTTCCTGCCAGCGCGGTACAGTGTTTTTTCCCAATGGCGCTCTGTTAACCTGCAAGGGACCTGATAGGTATATTACAGGACAGGAACAATTTGCTAAAATAGACTTTAATAAAAACTGGTAGGTATTTGTTTTTAATTAAAGGCCAATATGTCCTGGACAACAGGAGCCCCAATCTCTTTAGAGAGTACTTGGGAAATAAATATTTTTTAATGTTATCCTTGCTGTTATTTTTATCGCAAGTGGCGCTTGGCTTCCCCTGGAGTGCAGCCTGCTTTGTGGATGTTACTACATTCATCTTCACAGCATGGGGAGCGGGTGTCAACTATGATGATCTTGGTTTTGCAGATGGCAAGACGGAAACTCTGAGAAGTGACATGACTTGATCAAGGTCATAAAATGACCCAAAGCTGCAGCTGCCCTGGACCTATTCGATTTCTTGTTGATTTTAATGAGTGGGAACAGTTAAGTAGGGGGCAGCAGAGAGAAAAGAGTATTTTTTAAATGGCGGTTTACCATAATCCTAGTTTATATAGTATCATTTAATCTTAGTAACGGTGCAGATGAGAAAGTTAAGCCTTTAGAGATAGCCAATACTGTCCAAGTTCATAGAGCAAATTGAAAGGCAGAGCCAGAATTTGAACTAAGACAATCCCTGTGACTCTTCCCACTGCATTTTGAAGGTTGCTCTTCACTACTCCCACAGTTTATCTGTCTTTATTTGCCAAGGGTACTGCATAGAAACAGCAATTATGACTTAGCCACCCTGGCTTAAGAAGGTGAGGGTAATAGGAGGTAACTGACTCCATCAATATTCAAATCTATCAATTTATACTCCCTCAGCCCAGAAAGGCAGCTTGCTTTAATCATTCTAAATATTTTCCTGTGGCCTTCCTACTATTGTATCTCACAGCTGGTATCTTGAAGTTGACAGAGGATCTTGTCCCTCAGGCTAGAATTTACAGATGAGGAATCCATCGAAATGTTTCTCTGAGGACCAAACGTCTAGAAAGAAATTTCTCTATGCAGATTCCTTCTGGTCTTGTTGGAGGAAACTCCAGAGAGAAAAGTTTGACAAGGAGACAACTGTGGACAAACTGACTACCCACTTCTCATGTACACTATTCCAGATTAACACCACCTATGGCACTCTCCTTTCACATTTTGTTTTTTAATTCCAAATGTTAGAATCATAAGGTGTGTGTTTGAGCTTGAGCAGAGATTCTGGAGAGATCCAAGATTACACAAATTGAATTATAATACGAAGTTTACAAAAATAAGCCCTTATGCATTTGCTACTCATTTTGTGCCAAACTTTTCCGAGGAAAGTATTCTGAAAAAGAATCTTGCGTGAAATCATAGGTTTTGTGGTTGGTGCATGTTTGTGTGAAAGGACAAGTAAAATCCCTTAAGTTTCAAAAAAGTTTATTTGAGACATACAAAAAAATAAAGTCATAGAAGCTCATACTGTCTCCCAAGGGAAAAAATAGATAAATTTTAATAACCCCAAAATGATAAATGTTATTTCTTTTATACTACACAGTGAACTGAAATTGATTCAGATCATTCTCTGATGTCAAAGAAAAGTAGAATGGGAATACAAATCATAGTTGCCCAAAACGTCTTCATTGTATTATATCCATTGCAGGATCATTTTCTGTACTAGACACTAATCATTCCTTGGAAATTTCATCCATTTGAATCCCAGCACTAAGTGGATCCAGTCTTAGTGCTGGATCTAACTGGCCAGTCCATTGTTTTTCCACCTAATTTAATACCGGAATATTGATTAATGAAAATAGGTCAACCATGAAAATTTATGACTTTTAATGGTTATTCCTCCTTTGAAATTGAATTTGCAAAAACTAAGATGTTATATTTACTAAATTAGGAGACATTGTTGGTCTAAATACATTAAAGGGCGGGAGACAGACAGAGACAGAGAAAGCGAGACAGTGAAAGAGAGACAGGAAAGAGAGACAGAAGAGTCTTGCTCAGTCTAGAAGATGATATAAGTTTTTAAAAATTTATTTATGGAAAAGAAAACTACTTAGGCAGATGCCCTAAGAGAAAGCATATATTCTGTTTAAAATTTGGAAATAAAAACATTTCTAAATAAGAATCACAGAAGCATATCAGCTTTGGAAGCAAGAGGCAGAGTTGAGACAAGTAGTGTAATTTTTATTTAGAGTTTAAACTATGAGAAACAAATTTTAAATTTAGTGCCTCTTCATAATATGGTTAACTAGATCAGGGTTTAGTGATTGGTTTTCCCAGTTCTAAAGAATGAGAGGAGGGGCCGGCCCCGTGGCTTGGCGGTTAAGTGCACACGCTCCGCTACTGGCGGCCCAGGTTCGGATCCCTGGTGCGCACCGACGCACCGCTTCTCCGGCCATGCTGAGGCCGCGTCCCACATACAGCAACTAGAAGGATGTGCAGCTATGACATACAACTATCTACTGGGGCTTTGGGGAAAAAAAAGAAGGAGGATTGGCAATAGATGTTAGCTCAGAACTGGTCTTCCTCAGCAAAAAGAGGAGGATTAGCACGGATGTTAGCTCAGGGCTGATCTTCCTCACAAATAAATAAATAAATAAATAAATAAATAAATAAATAAATATATTCATAACACTGTATATTTTAAAAAAACTTTTGGAGACTAATGTATGGATATTTCACAGAAAGTGCAAGCCTTTTTCCTCTATCTGACAATTAGGATATGAGCTAACATTTCTAATTTCTCCAGGAGTTGAGTTGTTCCGGGCTATGTAGGTCCAATTGTAACCGTGATTATTCCAACCACCAACCAACTCAGCATCCCCAGAGCTGCCTTTTTTCTTCCTTCCTTCCTATCTTCTTTGTCCTTCCTTCCTTCTTTCCTCCCTTCCTTTTTCTCTTTTTTGCTAATGTTTTTATTTTGATATATTATCAAACTTCGAGGAAAGTGGTACGAAAAGTATAAGGCACTCTCGTATACCTTTTAAGTGGATTTGCCAATGCTTGGTTTGTATTTGTTCCATTCTTTCTCTTTCTCTCTTTCTCTTTCTCTCCCTCTCTCCTACCCCCTCTACTGGAAAATGTATTTATACTTGACATACGCATTTTGTTTTCTATGAACACTTTGAGACCATTTTTTTCTGAACAATTTGTGAATAAGTTGGAGTCACTGTGTGTCTATACCCCTAAAAATTCACCTGTGTATTTCCAGAGCAAAGACATGACTTCCATGACCACACTACACTGCATTTATCATTGATTTAACATTGATTAAACACTATTCTCTAATCCATAGTCTTTTGTGACTATATTTTTTTCTGTCCAGGATCAAATCCTATATCAAACACTGTATTAAGTGGTCAAGTCTCCATAATTTCCTTTAATCTAGAACAGTTTATCAGCCTTCCTTTGTCTTTCTTGGTCTTACTATTTTTGAAGACTACAGGGGAAGTTTTTGTAGAATATTTTTTCATTTAGGTTTATCTAATGATTTCTCATGATAAGACTTAGGTTACACATTTTTTGGCAGGAATATTAAAAAAACAACAAACAAAGACATGCTATCCTTTTCAATGAATCCTATTAGTAGGCCTGTGGCATCAACTTGTCCCAGTATTAGTGGCTGACTTTGTGAAGGTGATGCAGAGGCTAAGCTGCTTCACTGTAAACTTACCATTTTCTCTTCATAGCTGTGTTAGTTGGAGTCTTCTGTGAAAGAAGACAGGATTAGACTTGCAAGAGACTCTTGGGAAAATCACATTGAGGAAAAAATGGAAAGGAAGTCAGAGAAGGCAGAGAGAGGCATCAGATCCAGATATGAAGGAAAAGGGGAGGGAAGGATGGTGGGGTAGGAAGACTCAGCTGCAGCAGTCTGAGAAATCTCCCACCAAACCACAGGGAGGGTTCTGGAGCCAAAGCCAGCCTTGGAGGGGTCCAAATCTTACAGGGTCACAAAACTCCTTGTTGATGGGAGCTGTCCTGTGCATCATAAGATGTTTAGCAGCATCCTTGGCCTCCACTCACTAGATGCCAGTAGCAGCCTCCCAGTTGTGACAACAAAAAAATGTCTCCAGACATCAACAAATGTCATCTGGGGGTAAAACCGCTTCTAGTTGAGAACCACTGCTTTACATACGTAGGTCTTCTCCTGTCCTCTGGTGAGAGTTATCTCAGAAGGCCATCTGTTGCACACACGAGATTTCCTCTAAAGTTGTCTTTTCTTGCATGATGAGGTATGATTTATTGCTAAAGCCTTGCCTACACTCCCTGTGCTTAAAGCTTCTCTACAGCAGACGTGACCTCTGGTGTCTAAAAAGGAGTAATTTCAGCCTAAAGCCTTCCCCACACTGACTGCAGATATCAGGCTTCTCCCCTGAGTGTGTTCTCTGATGTGTGCCGAGGGTCGCCTTATCACTAAAGCCCCGCTCACACTTCTTGCACACGTAAAGCTTCTCCCAGGAATGAGTCCTCTGATGTCTCATAAGGGCCGACTTCTGGCTGAAGCCTCGCCCACACTCCCTACACACAAAGAGCTTCTCCCTTGAGTGGGCCATCTCGTGCCTGACCAGATTTGCCTTCTGGCTAAAGCCTTGCCCACACTCGGTGCAAACATAAGCCTTCTCCCCAGAGTGTGTCCTCTGATGACTGATGAGGTGTGACTTCTGTCTGAAGCCTCGTCCACACTCCCTGTGCACAAAATGCTTCTCCCCTGAGTGTGTCCTCTGGTGTGTAATGAGAGCTGACAACACTAAAGCCTCGTCCACATTCTGCACACATATAGGGGTTCTCCCTTGAGTGTGTCCTCTGGTGTGTGGTAAGATTTGACTTGTCACTAAAGCCTCGTCCACACTCCGGATACACAAAAGGCTTCTCTCCTGAGTGTGTCCTCTTGTGCTTTATGAGGTATGACTTCTGACTAAAGGTCCGGCCACAGTAATTGCACAGATGAGCATTCTCCCCTGAATGAATCCTCTGGTGTTTACTGAGACTTGATTTATCTCTAAAAAGCCTCCCACAGTCCCTGCATGCATAAGGCTTCCCCCATGAGTGAGTCCTCTGGTGTGTGATAAGGTTTGACTTATCCCTGAAGCCTCGCCCACACTGCCGGCACCCAAAGGGCTTCTCTCCTGAGTGGGTCCTGAGGTGTCTGATGAGGGTTGACTTCTGGCTAAAGCTTCGCCCACACTCCTCACATGTGAAAGGCTTCTCCCCAGAGTGTGCCATCTTGTGTGCGACCAGGTTTGACTTCTGGCTGAAGGCCTGCCCTCACTCTGTGCAGAGGTAAGGCTTCTCCCCTGTGTGTGACCTCGTGCATGTGACGAGAGCTGAGTTACAGCTAAAGCTTAGGCCACACTCACTGTAAAAATAAGGCTTTCCTCCTGAGTGGGTCTTCTGATGAATGAAGAGGGCCGACTTCCGGTTAAGGCCCAGCCCATAATTTCCACAATTGACTACTTCAAATCCCGAGATTTCTACCCACTTCAATACTTTGTCTTTTTTGAAAGTGTTTGTCTTCTCAGCTGAGCTGAACTTTATTTCCACCACTGTCTTGACTTCCCTTGAGCTTAGTAGCTGTCCTACAGGTGGGCTGCAGAAAGTTCTTGAAGTAATCCTCTGCTTTGTCCTCCCAAACAAGAACTCGGAGCCCCCTTCTCTGACCACATCTTCCACTCTGTCACTCCAGAAGCTTTCAAAAGAGAGTGGTTGCTACTGCTGCTGCTGCTTCTGATGTGCTGGGCAGAGACCTGCTATTTGGAGAGTTCCTGCAAACAAGCCTGGGCAGGCTGGAAGGTGATGATCACGTAACACATGCTGGCATAATTGCTGACTGCAGAGGTCCAGAGTAGAGGAGGAATAAGGTTGAATTTCTGGCCTTGGATCTGCTGAACAGGGGCTGGGCATATGTTCTTTCTTGTCTCTCCAGGGCTCTTCCCCCCGCTCCAGCAGAATGACAAGTGTCGGTTTGGAAAATGGAATTCCCAAGCAGACCAGGTTGCTGTAGTTTTCCAGCATCACAACCCTGTACAGGGTCCTCTGAGCACAGCCCAACAGCTGCCACTCTTCCTGGGTGAAATCCACAGCCACATCACGGAATGACACAAATGCCCCTTCTCTCCTGGCTCTCAAGAGCCCCAAGGCCATTTTTCTGGTCTCCTGAATGGTCTTCCCAGAGAAAGATGAGGTCTTATCCCTGCCCAGTCTTGGCTCCTGTGCGTAGCTACTGCACAGGGGTAACCTGCAGGGTTGAGTCCATGTCTGCATAGCTACATGTGAGGGCTTGTCACTGACAGGGAGGCTAAAGCTGATGGGGACACAGTTGCAATGTCTGTCCCATGGCAGGTACAACAACCGTAAGGGAGGACAGATTAGAGTCAGCCTGCTACATCATATGTTTCTTTTAGAAGTTAGATAATTTTAACTTTTACATTATAAGGCTATGTTCTATCTCAAATTCATTTTTTGGTATATGACAAAGGTCAGTTCATTTTTTTCCATATGAATATCAAGTTTTTCCAATGTTTCTTAAAGAAACTTTTCTTTCCCCTTTGAATTTCATTGGCACTTTTCTTAAAACAAATGAATTGCATTGGCACTTTTGTTGAAACCAATGGTTTATATAAATACGAATCTATTTCTGGACTCGATTCTGATCTCTGCTCTGTTCTGCTAGCTTGTGATGGTGTCTGTATTTGAGCTGGAAGGCTTGACTAAAGTTTCAGATAGGTTTGCTTCACTATTGGCTTCAATCTCACAAAGACTTTGAATCCAATCATTTGGAAAACCCTCGAGCCTAGGTGACTTCCCTTTACTTACTAGGGCTTCACTCACTGTTTCTTTCTCAGTTAAACTCGAAGCGGGGGGGTCAGGGGAGAGGCATAATCGCTAGCTGAGTTGGGATTCTTCCAGTCTACAGTCCACTCTACCAGCCCTCGCTGTCCTCAGTCCCGGCATGGTGGTCTGAATCCGAACCTGGCAATGACCCCCAGATGGGAATGGCTGCTGCTCTCTTCTCTTCTCTGAAGAGTTCGTTTCTCTGTGGAATTCAGTTCGCTGAGCTTTAAATCCACCACTCTTCTCTACCTTCATAGAGAGGTATGATTTTTAATTTATTTTGTCTGTTTTTCTTGCTACCATTGGAACAAAATTCTTTCTGTTCTTTTGTATTCTAACTGGCAGCAGAAGTATTCCTGGTGGGAAAAAAATGAAGGGAAAGTTTAGAATTATTTATTAAAAAAAAGAACTTGCATTTTGAACCTTTTGCGCTGTCAATTCCTTTTGTTTCTCCTTATCATGACTGTCACAAATTGGCTAGTTTTGTCTTCAACAATTAAAATTTACGCTTAAACCTTTAGAACCATCTAATGTTTAACTTGAGCGACATGATTCTAGAATAAAATGTCAAAGTTTCACCTTACTTTTGTGAATAGGAAAAAGAAAATGGAACAAGGTAGGTCCATATAACAATCAAAAGAACAGAGTCACCTTAGCAATTTTTTCTCCTCTTATTTTCATTTGGTCATTGAATACGTTATCCGAAAAGGCTTTCTCAATGACTCTTGAGAAAGTCCTTTTCATCAGAAACTGAGGAACACAAAAGGCCAGAAGTTTGTTAGTTATTTCTCAATTAAAAAGGAGAAGGGTGTGTACCATTTAAATAGAAAAAAGAGTGGTGAATACAACATTATGAAGTGCAGAAGTAAGATTTTTTTTACGTAAGCTAGAGAAAGTATCTCTGTTGGTCTAAGCGGCACAGTGAGACTTAAAATGGTGACTCAAGAAGCTAAGAGCAGTAGCATTTAACTTGGATCTGACACTGGCTGGTGATTCCCAAGTAAGCCGCAGTCTCGGATTCTAGCTATAGCATTTGGACAAATTAAACACAGCTTCACTGGATGTACAGATGGTTGAAACAGTTTTTGTTTTTTCAAGGATAGCATTCACTGTGGTGCTCCTACAGTCTTCCAAGGCATAAAAATCAAGTGAACAGACAATCTGATGGAAGAGATGAGCCTCCTTATGAGCTGTCCCTGTTTCTCGCTTGTCTACTCATGGTTACAATCCCCCTTCAGTGTTTCAGCATTCAGACTACACAGGGAGAGTATTTAAGTGACAACACTCTTCACCCAGGTGGGCATGATTAAATAATAATAATAAATAATAATAATAATAAAAGAAAAATTTTTATGTTTCATATAGGGGCCAGCTAGTTGGCATTCCTAGTGCCAGATACAAGAGAAGATCATTCAAGAATCTAAATGCCTACTCCAGAATCCTCTATGAGTAATATGAAAAAATGTATAATCTCATCATTTGAGCTTCATAGAATCAGTATAAATTTGGCTTAATGTAAGATGATCCTCAAAATACCAGTGTTACCCAAGCTACAAATAGAAGGAGGGGAAAAAAGGGAGTTCTGTGCTCCAATAACCTTGAGAATCATTTGGCCAACTCATCTTATACATGTTTCTGTATTAAGAATCTTCTCAGATACTCCAATATGCCTAAGTTCACTCTCAAGCTCCAAGACAGAGACATAGGATGTAGTGTTTCTGAAACCTATTTGATTAAGAAATTCTTTTCCCCAGAATATCTTATGGGACTACTGCTCTGAAAAACATGCTTCATAAAAATCTGGCCTAAGTTCAGTAAACTTTACGTTTTTTTCCCAACGAACTGCAAGATCTGGAGTTCCTTTTATTCAAAAATAAAACAAATATGTCCAAAAGGAAATGCTTTATTGCATTCATATCTCTTTGAAAATTTCGATGGAAATTGAAGTGTTTATTGGATAAGAAGTAACCAGAGGAAGTCAAGCTGCATGGAGAGAAATGTAGAGTAGAGCATTTGTAAGAAACTGGTCTTTGTCTTTGGTTGGTGTTCATGGGAGGTAAATTATTAAATACCTTCTTAACAGCATTTTCTTCTCATGTTTTGTTAAGAGTCAACATGCTTCACACCCTTGTCAGGATGTGTTGTGGTGGTGTTGTGCTGTGTGTCTTATTGGTGTAGATGTGTGCACATGTGTGTGTTTGTGCATTGTGAGTGTTTTTAGAACCTCCGATGAATCTCAACAGTGAATTCCACAAGGGAAAAAACTAGCTGTTACCACTTTTGTTTTCTAGATCTATAACTGTGCCTATAATATAAACAAGAGCTTCAAAATAAATAATATCTAAACTGCTTCATCTAGCTCCTTTTCAAATCAGTAACTTTTTCATCCTACAGTTTGCCAGATCATTTTCCTATGACATATAACTCAATAAATATTTATTAAGTACCTAATATGGTCAGGCAATAGGCTAAGTGCTAAGAATTCTACTTTTGCTGCCCGTTTATCAAGGAGCTCAGAAAATTAGAGCACAATTTATTTCCTAATATGGAGGTAGTTTGAGTTTAGTAACTTCAATTAAGAGACCTAAACGACTGTGAAAAATCTCCTATCGCAATAGCACTCAGATTACAGAGGGCTCTCTGCTTGATCAAGGGAAATTAAGACATTTATTCACCCTTAACCACCTAGAGAGCAATATATCAGAGGTATAATTACAGAATGGTTAGAGGCTAGTGATTTTCTTTCCAGGTGAACAATAATAAATGAATGTCAATTTCAGCACAAGGCTTAGGGATTAAATATAAAGAGCAACTTACAAATGTCTTAGGTATCAGAGGGCATGTGAGATGTCACACCAGAATTTCAGGTAGGGGACTAGGGTGGCAGGTGGTGGGACTAGGAATAAAGATAAGACCTGGGAGATGACGGGTGGGTGAAGGCAGAAGTCGGTTACAACAGATCAAACGGTAAAAGAGTAAAAGCGTAAGAAGTTTTAAGTAAAGAGTGAAATTAGGGTTCATATTCTCATAACAGTGCATCAGCAAAGGAATGAAATTTAATGATATTTAAGAATGAGTCTTAGGGATCCTGGACAAAGGTCCTTGCAACACTAGTGCACAGTACCTTCTATGTGAAATCTGCTATTCTAAATTTTCTATAAATATAATATTATATATAATATATATGCACGTGTATGTATATATACATACATACGTATGTGTGTGTGTTTGTAATATGAGGTAGATATTATCATTTTTTCCATCTGAGGGATGAGGAATTGAAGATGGTGAGGTTAATTCACTTCCCAGAGTCTAGAGTAATAGACAGAGCCAACAAGGACAAAAAAAGTTTAACTCTTTGTCAAGACAGATGAAGATAAGCAGAGAATAGTGAGGACAAAGTAGAGCTGGAAAGGAAGAGGGCGAAGTTTCCTTGGACTTATCAAGCCACAATAAGCTATTTCAACATGGAAGTGTCTAACAATATACTTTGAAAATGTAGGAAATATATTGGGAAAAGTGTTAAATACTTCAAATATACATACTTAAAACTCTCATGTTGGAAAAAAGAAAAAAAGGACAGAGCCAAGAATTCAAACAAAGCAAGCTGGTTCCAGCGTCTGAGCCCTCATCAATATGATGCACTCTCTCTCTTAACGTAACCCCTCTGCTATGGGTCCAGAGCCCTGCGTAAGAAAAAACTGAGCCCAGAGGCAGAGCAGAGAACAAGGGGACAGAGGAAGCCATTTTCTAACAGCTAGCTAAGAAATTACAGCTTGTTTGATTGATTACGAGTTTGTTTGAATTTTGAGTTGATATAGTAATAGCTCTGTATCTGTAGGAATAAATAGTCTAGACACAGTGAGTGTCTTTTAAGGTTTGCTAAAATTTTACTCTGCCAATTATAAAGGAAGGCCAGTAGTCAAGGATGGAATTTGTGGCAAGACTTGGCTGCAGAGGCTTCCGTGAAAGCACTCAGCAATTTCCTTCTTGTGATTATCGCCCTTAACACCCTTGGTCAAATCAGAGCAATGGCTGCATATGATCAGCCTTCTCAAAAGCTCTCACCTCCTCACCACATGTCAACCATAAATCTATGGGAAGGATTTGGACTAGTTTCATACATTCCTTTTCCACTTACTCATGATTGAAGAAATAGTTGGTCTTTATATTACTATCTTATAAATTGACTGATAAATAAACGATAAAGATATTTAAGAAAATGTATATACCTTACTAAAGCAACAGAGGCAGAACTAAAACACTGAATTCATAGATTATCAATCTGTTACCCAAGTCAGAAAACACACATTTTTGCTAGAACTATGTTATGTGTATTATTCCTGAATTTAATATGACACACAGTACCAACCACATATACTAAATTTGGATACCATTAGCAAAATTTTAGAGGAAAGCATGAGAAAACCAACATGTATTGAGGCCCTATTATTTTCAAGGGTGTAATACGTTTGACTTTAAGTCAAAAGTTTTTAAATCTACATAAAAAAAATTCAGATTGATGAAAATGGAACAAGACTTTTGGTTTTATATTTCTAATTGTTGAAAATTCTAAAGCCAAAAGCTTACCA